TTTTTTTTTTTTGGGGGGGGGGAGGAATTTTCCCCTCCCCCACACTCACCAGTTTTTGGGGGGTTCCTCTTCACCCTCATCCACTCGAAAGTGGCCCCGGGACCCGGCTGGTCGCCAAAAAGGCCGGGTTGGTAGCCAGGCTGCTCAGGAAGAGGAGGAGGAGGAGGAGGAGGAGGAAGAAAGTGGCCCGAGGGCTCGCAGTAGCCATGGGCCAGCGAACCCGACGGGAAACCCTGCAAATAAAAACCCTCCTCGTCCTGCTGGCCCACGCAGAGCTGTTGGTAGCCACAATGCTGAGCTGGGTAGCCCGAAGAGTTGAAGGCTCCGTGCTGCTGGAAGCTTTGCTCGCCGTTGGTAGCCCCCGAGTTGAAATGGTCGCCACCGGAGCTCGGAGTGACCCTGTCGGGGTTGGTCGAGCACTGGGGGAAAGTTGGCGAGTTGAGCTCCGGCCGGTGGCCACCAGAGGAGCCCAGGGGCCAAATCGCCAACTCCAAGAAGTTCATGGCGGGATTGTCCTGCTGGTGGCCACCGAGGGGTGAGAAGTGGCCACCGAGGGGTGAGAAGTGGCCACCGAAGGGTGGGAAGTGGCCACCGAGGGGTGAGAAGCGGCCACCGAAGGGTGAGAAGTGGCCACCGAAGGGTGGGAAGTGGCCACCGAGGGTTTTTTTGGGTTTTTTTGGGTGGGATTTTTTTTTTTTTAAGGGGTGATGCTCGCCTCGCCCTTTAGGCGAGTAAAATCCCCCGTGGGGCCACCAGGAAGAGCCGGGGAAGGTCGGGAGGAGCGGGGCCAGTCCAATGAGCGAGGGGCGACCAAAGTTTGCCCGGGGGCTCATCCATCACCGGGCGGTGACATCGGCGTGACAAAGGAGCCTCGGTCCAAGCCGGCCCATCAATCTGATCGCCGCACGGGAGCGTCAAAACCCAAAAAAAAAAAAAAAAAAAAAAAATACAAAACTTTTTCCTCAAAGGTTTTAAGTAAAAAAAAAAAAACAACTAAAAAGGTTTTCCTCAAAGGGTTTAAATTAAAAAAAAAAAAAAAGAGAGAAAAAAAATCGAAAAGCTTTTCCTCAGGGACTTTAAAAAAAAAGGTTTTCCTCAAAGGGTTTAAATAATAATAAAAAAGGGAATAAAAAAAATT